CTGATGATGCTGATGCTGATGCTGATGCTGATGATGACGATGCTGATGATGATGATGATGATGATGATGATGATGAGGAGGAGGAGGAGGAGGAGGAGGAGGAGGAGGAGGATGATGATGATGATGATGCTGATGCTGATGCTGATGCTGATGCTGATGCTGATGCTGATGCTGATGGTTCTTCTCGCTTCGCGGGGTGCACGGCCAGAGCACGTGCAGTCCAGACGTTGTGGGGCCTGGTGGAAGCCTTTTTGGGGCCTCTTGGAGGCCTCTTGTGGGCTTCTTGGGGCCTCTTGGGGGCTCCTTTGTGGCCGCTTGGGGGCGTCATGGGCCGTCTTGCGGCGCTCTTTCGCCGTTTGGCTCCTTCGGAGGTCATCCTGTGGGCCTCTTGCGGCCGCCGCCTCTTGGACCGTGCTGGGGGCCTCTTTGGGCCGTCTTGGGGCCCTCTTTGGCCGTCTTGGGGTCCTCTTGGGGGCCTCTTGGGCCGTCCTGGTACCATTTTGGAGGCTGCTTAGGCCGTCATGGACCTCTAAGGATAGAACAAATACGAGAACGCTAAAGTCCTCACCCACCTAAGGAAGAACAATGATGTTGGTCTTGGGAGGCGCTCTTGGGGGCCCTCTTGGGGCCATCTTGGACCGTGTTGGGGTCGTCTTGGCCCGTCTTGAAGCCATCTTGAGCCGTCTTGACGCACTCTTGGACCTCCAAGATGCTGATGATTCTACAGGCCTGCGCCACGTCCGCCGACTCCGTAAGTCCTGCAAGGAAAGCCCGTTCGGGTGACCACTTTGGTGATGGACTCTGCAATGGCGCTACACGTACCGAACCCTTGGAAGGAGGATTTGGAGGATAGCAAGGGGGAGGGCGACGATGATGATAATGATAATGTGGAAAGGGGGAGGGGGAAGAGGAGGACGGGGTAGAGTGAGGAGCATGAGGAGGACGAGGAAAAGGCTTTGTGCGGGCTCCTACGCCGTCAAATAGGCACGGCAGCGGATTGTCCGCATGAGAGCCCGAGGGTAAATATCTCAGTCCCTAGCTCTTCACGTATTACAAGAGTCGATGTCTCTATGTTTCCGTTCGCTGCGCCACTTTATTCATGCAGTTCGCTATTGCGAAGGCCTTACGGCCAGTGCCGCCGACCCTGGAGGACGTGCAGTACTTGCTGGGAGGGCGTCGTATCTGAGTGGCGCCCCCCCCGGGACCCCCCCCGGGACCCCCCCGCTACCCCCCCCCCCCTCCCGGCGGGGGAGGGATCAAAGGGAAGGGGCTTCCCTTCGACTCAAATACGACGTTGCTGAAGTTCATTTGGGCTGGCGCGCTTGAGCAGGGGCCCCTGCTGGGAAAGAGGACGGGAGTGGCGACGGGCCCACGGAAAGGGAGGCGCAAGGAAGGGGGACGACAGAGACGACGACCAACGAACAACGGGGATGACGTCTCGAACGGAAAAGCCCCTCACACACGCCGACAGGGTCGGCGGATTTCTGTCTCTCGTTTGCAGAGGCTTCGCGAGGCGACACGTGCGTGGCATACTTATCAGCGTGTGAAATACTTCAAGTTCGGCTGGTTTGGGATTCAAGTGGCCGACTGTGCCGCTTAAAGTAGTATTGTTATTCGTATTCGTAGACGTCTTTAGGGTTGTTCTGAATTTCGTTGGATTCCCCGGGATTCTTTAGGACTCCCAAAGATTTTCGAAGGTTCCGGAAGATTCTTTACGATTCCCCAGGGCTCCTCGGAGTTCCTTCGTGTTCTTCTGGTTTCCGCATGGGTCTTTTGAATTCAGAAGGATTTATCAGGATTCCTCGGGGTTCATCAGGGTTATCGAAAAGGGTCTTCAGGATTCGTCGGGGTTCGTCCAAGGTCCTCCGGATTCTTTAGGATTCTTTGCGAGGTCTTCATGATTCTTCTGGATCCTGCCGTATTCCACTGCGTTCTTCCGGATGCGGCAGGGTTGGTGAGGATTTTTTTGGATTCCTGACGATTCTTCAGGCTTCGAGATTCATCCGGATTTCTAAAGTTTCCCAGGATTCTTCAGGGTTCCCCAGAATTCTTTAAGATTCTTCAGGGCTCCTCAAGTTTCCCTGGGGTTCTTCAAGATTCCTCACGGTTCCTCTGGATTCCTTGAGATTCCGCAGAGATTCGAGATTCTTTGCAGAGGCTCCGAAGAAGCTTTTCAGAGGCTCTGCAGAAGTCTCTCAGAGGCTCTCAAGGAAGCTCTCAGAAGCTTTCAAGCAGCTTCTCAGAGGATCCTAAGAAGCTTCTCAGAGTCTCTAAGAAGCTTCTCAGAGTCTCTCAGGGAGCGTCTCAGGGGCACTTTCGTACGCTCTGAAGAAGCCTTTCAGAGGCTGTCAAAAAGCTTCTCCGAGGCTCTCAAGAAGCTCGCTAGGGGCACCGACCGGGTAAAAACCCCTCCAGTCGGGAAATAATCCAGCCAATTTTTCACCGTCGAACCAGGAACACAAAATTCGATCGTCCAGGGGGGGTGCCCCGTGCGATCGGCAATTTGCCTAGGTCGCCAATGCGAACGGCCCTGAAACAGGGCCCTGGGAACGCACTGGGGGTTGGCCCGTTCCAGTAGCCACTTGCATAGGGTGCCTATGCGAAGAGGCGCGACGCCCCGAAACGTTGGGCCAGGGATCGTCTGGGGGGCTGGCCCCTGCGATGGGCAATTCGCATCGGCCGCCCGTGCAAATTGCCCCAAAACAGGATCCCAGGGAACGCGCCAGGGGTTGGCCCTTTCCACTAGCAATTTGCATAGGGTGCCTATGCAAATGGCTCCCTGTGCAAATGGCCTCCGAGGTCCAGTTTCGCTCAAACGCGCGATTTGGGACCCGGCTGGGGGGACGATATGGGGGGAAGAGGGTCATGCGCCTAGAGACCCCAAAGGTTTCGGCGTATTCTGATGATGATGATGAGGAAGATGATGATGAGGACGAGGATGAGGATGATGACGGTGATGGTGATGATGCTGCTGCTGATGATGATGACGATGATGATGATTATGATGATGATTATGATGATGATGGTGATGATGGTGGTGGTGGTGGTGATAGTGGTGATGGTCGTTATGATGATGACGATGATGATAAGGGGAGGAGGAGGTGGAGGGATAATGGGAGGAGGAAGAGAGGAGAAGGAGGAGGATGATGAGGATGAGGATGATGAGGATGAGGATGATGATGATGATGATGAGGAGGAGGAGGAGGAGGAGCAAGAGGAAGAGCAGGATGCTGCTGCTGCTGCTGACGATGACGATGACGATGACGATGATGATGATGCTGATGATGATGATGGTGATGATGATGGCGATTATATGATGATGATTATGATGATGAGGGTGATGATGACGATGATGATGATGCTGATGATTATTCTGCTGATGATGATGCTGATGCTGATGCTGATGCTGATGATGATGCTGATGCTGATGCTGATGCTGATGATGATGAGGTGATGGAGGATGAGGAGGAGGACGAGGAGGAGGAGGAAGAGGAGGAGGATGAGGAGGTTAAGCAGAGAAGCGGGAGGTCGTGAAGCTTCAAGAGCAGCGTGAGGACGCGGATGAGGGAGTTAGAAGTTGTACCAGGAGGAGAAGTCGACGCATTTTAGCAGCAATAACGGAGGGGCAAGAACGGGTCAGTTTTGGTGCAGTCTCTTTTTCCTTCTCTTCCTCTGTTCAATCTTATGATGGACAGTCGTGTCGCATACCAGTGGGTTCTCCCAGGCACACCTTGAAGCGTTTCCTCGCCGGGCGAAGCTGTTCTGAGCGGGGGCGAGCGGCGCGTTCCCCGGGGAGACTAACGAGCGCTTGCGAACCCAACCTCCTCCGCCTGTGGATGTCCTCCATGCGTGCGAGAGGAAGGTTCTGGCTGCTGTTATGGTGCCCCCTTACTTATCGTTTAAGTCTCCCACCCAGCCGTGATGCTCTGAGCGCGCGGCCTGTCCTTCTGTCGCTGGTGCCGTGCTTCCGCCCTCGGCCGATCGATCGCGGGTCCTGGCGGGAACGGCACGGCGTGCTGTAGCATGGAGGGTGGAAGAAGAGGGGGAGGAGGAGTGAGAGTCAGCAGGAGGAGCAGAAAGTGCAGGCGTAGGATGATGAGGCGGATCTGAAGACGACGATGATAATGGTTATGATGAGGACGATGACGACGACAGGACGCCAGGCCCAGAAGTGCTGGGTGAAAGCGACGGTGATGATGCTGAGGCACATTATGATACGGAAGTGGTCAACCAGGAAGAGGAGAAAGTAGCAGCAGCACGATGAATGGAGTGTGAGAATGATGAGGAGGGAAAGGACAAGGACGATTCTTATGGTGATTATGGTGGTTGTGACGGTGATGGTGGTGGAATTTGCGATGCTGATGATGAGCGATGGCGACTGCGATGGAGATGACGATGCTGACACTGATTATGATGATGACTATGGTGATGCTGATGCTGATGATGGTGATGAGGATGATGATGGTGATGATGATGATGATGATGGTGGTGTTGGCGATGATGACGATACTGATGATGCTGATGACGACGATGATGCCGATGGCGATGAACGGTGGTGGTTATGATGGTGATGTTGATGACGGAAGTGGTGGTGGTGGTGCTGATGATGATGATGATGAGGTCAATGATGCTGATGCTGGAGATGATGATGATGATGATGATGATGATGATGATGATGATGATGATGATGATGATGATGATGATGATGATGAGGGTGAGGATGAGGATGAGGGTGAGGATGAGGATTATGATGATGATGCTGATGATGTTGTTGTTGTTGCTGTTGTTGTTTTTGTTGTCGTTGTCGTTGTCGTTGTTGTTGTGGTTGTGGTTGTGGTCGTTGTTGTTGCTGTTGTTGTTGTTGTAGTTGTTGTTGTTGTTGTTGTTGTTGTTGTTGTTGTTGTTGTTGTTGTTGTTGTTTTTGTTGTTGTTGTTGTTGTTTCGTCGTCGTCGGCATCAGTGTCATCTGGGCGGCTTCCAGAGGGCGCGTCGGGGGCCAGGCCTTTCGGCCAGCGCCGCGGCTCTGCAGGACTGGTGGCGGCCGAGGCATGTGGGGGGCGAAGTCAGGCCGATGGTGGGGGAGAGGGAAGACGAGTGGGGGTATGGGTGGCTGGGGGGGGGGGGGTGGCAGGAAGAAGATGATGATGAGTGTGTGTATATATATATATATATATATATGATAA